GTATGGCTGGTGCACCCGATATGAACCCTAAACTCTAAACCCAAAACCCTAAACCCTAAACCCTAAACCGTACAAGGAAGACCTCGTCGAAACAGCAGAGCCCAGGGCGCTGCAAACCCTCTGGCTGCGAAATTCCCTGTGGCGGGACACTGCAACAGGGTTTTGGGTTTAGGGTTTTGGGTTTCGGGTTTGGTGTGGAGGGTTGACCTTTGCTTCTATGGCACCAGCCTACCTGCTGTGTTCGGCTTTCTCAGGCGTTGGGTTTAGTGCTATTTCAGAGTAGGGTGCTGAGAAGGGCTGGTTCCGATCAGGTCGTCCTGACTGTGTGGTCAGTTTGCGGAACCCAGATAGGTCCCGGTCCCTGGCACCGATAACCAGCTGCATCCAAAACCGCAAAACTCGCAACTCCACACCGCAAACGCACCCTTATGACACCCTATCCTTGCTGAATCCCTTGAATAATTAAACGTTGCCATGCCCTCTCCCGAATATCCGAATAAGGATAGCAATATGAACCAGAAGCAATAATCGCTGGTGTGGCAAAAATCCTAACAACCATCAGAGTGGTATAGTAGCATGACAATAGTGACAGTAGTCGTCATCGTCGTCGTCATCCCCGTCGTCATCGTCGCCGTATGTCGTCGTCGTAGTAGTATAGTCATCACAGCGGCAAAAAAAGTCGTGAGAGTCACCGAGAAGCAATAATAAAATCGTATAGTAGACATGATAGTAAAGATAATCAGAATATTTGCCTTAAGCCATAATCAAAAGCGCTGCTAACGATAGTCACCTCCATACCCGAACTTTGGCCTCCGCGAACTTGTTTGCAAGCTTCGAAGCGTGGTAGGAGCAGCATACTCGCAAGAAAGACCCTGGGCGGCATGTTGGCTTTTTCAGACTTCGGAGCTTAGATTTTCAGACTTCGGAGCTTAGAAAACGGCAGGGCAGGTGCCTCAAGAATGAGAATAGGCTTTCGGGCAACGTCTACGATGGCTAAGCTGGTGTGGGACTATGAGGGGAGGGTTTTCAGCCCCTGTGTTACGGTGATGAATTTACTACAGCCCCTGTAGTATTTGTCTCCGTGCCTTGAGCAAGTCATCGACATTGTATTGTTAGTATGGTTAGTTATTGGTGCCTGTGCGATGGATTAGCAACACCCTGAGGCCCTGAGGAACTTTTTTGTCCCAGGGTCTCTATTTGAATAGACTGAGAGTCCTTATGCTGGCTTCTTTGCCGAGAGAATCCTGGTACTTCTGACCGTTTGCTTGCGCCATTTCAGGCCGCAAGAAGCGCTTAGAGTGTGACTGCCCCAAATTCCCAGAAAACAAGAGCCGACAGGGCAGGCACAACGCTGGAAGCCATATTGTTTACTATAGATCCCTATTTTGGTAACTTATATTAATCCCTGAACAAGAACCCAGTTTTCTCAGGGCAAAGCCTGAGCCACCGACTCATCTCAGAAAAAGCCTAAGCCCTTGCATGATCGGCGGCTTCGTATTCTGATGCAGAGCAGTCGTGTTTCGTTGAACCCCTAAACGCCTAAACCCCTAAACCCCTAAACCCCCAAAGCCCTAAAGCCCTAAAGCCCTTAACCCCTAAACCCCTAAACCCCGAAAGCCCTAAACCCCTAAAGCCCTAAACCCCTAAAGCCCTAAACCCCTAAAGCCCTTAAGCCCGTAAACCTAAACCCTCCTCGAAGGTGCGGGCAATTTTCCACGATGCGGATTCGGACTTCTCCTCGCGAAAGACCGAGGCTCGTGGCTGCTGTGGGGAGGATGCACTTTTGGTCAATGCTTTCTGGGGTTTTGGGGTTTTTAAGGTTTAGGGCTTTCTGGGTTTAGGGTTTAGGGTTTAGGACTTTCAGGGGTTAGACAAGCTCTACGGATGTGGGACTCTTTTGTCTGGCTTTTAATTTAACAGGCTCGGGCCAAGAGCCGAATCTGGCATGATTCTTTGTCTCGGAGTTGGGTCATGCGGTAGAGTCAGTAGAGATGACCTTGATCGAAGGATAGTTTGGATTTAGGGCTTTGGGAACAAGACTTCATGAACTCCGATAGCGGCCTCAATCTGCAAGCGGCAGGTGTACAGTTCAGAGATCGGCCGCAGCAGGCAGTGTAGCCACCGGGGAAAACGGATAGAGAGACAAAGGGGGCGTCCAAGCCCAACCATTCCGCGGCTGTCCTGTGCCCTGCTTCTGGTTGTTGCCGGGCGTTGCAGTGGCACGCATGGCCAAGCAGGTGGTCCAGCATCAGCACAAAATCCTCAGCCAGTTTGCGACGTGACTGCACCCAGCGCATTGAGGCTTGGGTGTCCTTGAGGATATTGAGCCTACAGTTCGTCAGTTGTGCTTGTCATTTCCCTGCTTTCCACACTTCCGGTTGAGGCTTGTTGTCTGCTTGCTACTGCGGGGTCACTTCAAGTTCAAGCACAATCAAGAAGCCAGCATGAAACCCTAAAACCCTAAAATGGCCCTAGAACTCTATAACTCTAAAGCCCAAGCCGTAAAACCCTAAACCCTAAAGCCCTAAACCCTAAATTTTAAGTGTCTTCGCGAAGGTACCTTCGCCCCAAAGCTCGAACCCGGAACCCTTCTGTGACACCGGAGGTCCAAACTGCCTTCCTTTCCTCTTTCAGTCCTGCAAATCTCCTAGAGAGCAGAGGAAACGCAGAGCTTCGGCACACGACGAAGCACCCTTCAAGCTAATTGTCCAAGACGGCTCTCCTGCGCAATGCTGCATGGGAGACTTTGTTTCTAGCAGATGCAGCCCCGTCGCACTAAACGAAAGAAGGCACGAAACCTCAACCAATCAACCCCAAAGCCATAAACCCTAAACCCACACCATCAACTCTAAACCCCAAACCCCCACAGCCCTAAACCCTAAGCCCTACACCTTAAATGCAAAACCCCAACAAAAAACCCAAAGCCTCCACTCCTGAGATCGCCGGCCGGTTGGACCTACTGGGTCTGAAGGTGGACAAGGCAAGCCCGGGCTCCGCAAGGAATTCTGAGGGGCTTGGATTTGAGTTTAATTTAGGGTTTTAGGGGTTTTGGGGTTTGGGGCTTTAGGGTTTAGGGTTGAGGGTTCAGGGGGTTCAGGGGGTTTAGGGGGTTTAGGGGGTTTAGGGGGTTTAGGGTTGAGGGTTCAGGGGGTTTAGGGGGTTTTAGGGGGTTTAGGGGGTTTAGGGGGTTTAGGGGTTTAGTGTTTAGGGGTTTGGGGTGTAGGGGTCTAGGGCTTTCGTTATTTGTTTTTGTTGTTTGTTGATTCGGGGTTTAGAGTTCAAGCCTTAGAGCCAATGCGGCAGTCCTGATTTAAGCTTTATCAAACCCTAAACTCTAAACCCTAAACCCTAAACCCTTAACCCTAAACCCTGAAGCCGATGCCATGGCTAGGAGATGCCACCGCTAGAGATCATCACGCGGACTTGCCAGGCCTAGTTGGCTTCACCGCTGGTGTTGCCAGAGTCCTACTATGAATGGATATGGGAGTTTGCAAAAATCAGGGGTACCTTAATTTGGGGGTCCTTACAGTAAGGATCCTACTACTTAGGGTACTATATGAGGGTCTCCTATTTTCGGAAACCCCCGTATGACTGCCAGGAGGAAGTTCCGAACAAGAGTATGTCTTTCCGACAGGCTAAAAGTCCGAGGGACGTGCCGTGATGCAAACAGAAACTCAAGCGAATTCAGAAATGAAATAGGGTAGAGTATACTGGAGTTACTGGAGTTCTAGAATGGTTGGGTTCCTTCCGGGTGAACGAGCCGCAAGCGATCCAGGACACCTTGGTGAAAGTACTGAGCTCTCGAACCCCGGCTGCAGATTGGAGTCTGTAGAGTAAAAACACGGTTCAGGGAGAGCGGTTTCATGGTAAGCACGGTCGTCCCGTGCATGCTGCGGCAGTGGCAGCGGCTAGGCTTACTGCAGACCGTGCTGTGCACCATCATTCTCAATGCCTTTGCTGCCCCGATAGACCTTGGCGGCATGCTTGGGGCTCCGCCAGAAGAAGCTTTACGACCACCATTGCACTACTGGTGCTGCTGCTCCTGCTGCTGCTGCTGCTCCTGCTCCTGCTCCTCCTCGTCCTCCTCCGCCTCGTCGTCCTCCTCCTACTCCTGCTCCTACTTCTACTTCTATGCCTATACCGACGACGACTAGTACTTCCCTTTAGTGCTACGCTACAACTACTGCAGCAACAACAACAACGACGACGACGACGACAACTACTAGCACCACCACCATTCCCGCTACTGCTCCTGCTACTGCTACTGCCACTGCCACTGCTACTGCTACTGGCACTGCTACTGCTACTGCTATTGCTATTGCTATTGCTATTGCTATTGCTACTGCTGCTGCTGCTGCTGCTGCTACTACTGCTGCTACTACGACTACGACTACTACTACTACTACTACTACTACTACTGCTACTACCACTACTACTTTACTACTACTACCACGACAACGACAATTACTACTGCTACTAACTACGACGACGACCACGACGACTTCCGCGACTACCACTGCCTCGACGACGATCACCACCCAACGCGCGCGTCTTACGGCCTCCAACTTGAATCCAATGCCCACCTGCTGCTGGGGATCATTCGCGCTGCCGTCTGCTGGCATCGCTAGCGCCGGAAAAACAGCGACGGTGTTAGGATTTACATGCTGGTAGTGCTGAGTCCGAATGCAAATACCTCACCTGCACCATCAATTCTCGCGCAGTGCATCTTAAGACTGTGCGCGAAAGAGCTAATCGCAAGAACTAGTCACTCTCTTACTGCTTCAATCCTCTAGGTAGCCAAAAAGGGCCAGCTACTGGTATGAGCTCAAGGCTATTTGGCTGCCCCGCCGGGCAAACCGTGTTCTCCTTGTCCGTGGCTCGCACATGCTTCATATGTCCCTTGGAGCAGCTGCGGCTCTCGTGCAAAATACATGGAGAACACCCTTCCAAACTTCATAGGCTGGAGTGCCACGTCCTCTGTCAATAATTGAAAATCTTGCCTGGAGAGAGCGCAGTGGAACCTCGCACAGAAGCTGGAGGGCCTGTGGCAAAACTGATGTAGGCATCGCATTGCCGACACGGCAGCTGCCAGCCAAATGGAATGCCGGGACGGAATGTGATGGTGACGATGGTGAGGTTGATGCTGGTGGTGATGAGGACGATGATTTTTTCATGAGAATCATAGCAAAGCGAATGAGATTAATCAGCTCACGTCACAATTCTGCTGCCGTGGCGGACCCTGCGAAAATTCGCAGCTGCAGCACTGCATCTGCAAAGGCCATTAATGGAATCATCCCCGACTATCCATGATCTCTTGGGGTTTTCATTTCCAGGACAGCATTCCCTTCGAAGCAGCCAGGCTCTAGCAGCACCTCGACCAACAAGGACAAAAAAATCCGACGCTCGTGAGTGCTCATCGAGCGCATGCCACCATAAGAATCTCAAAGCAGCGACATATTTGCCGGAAGTTGGCACGAAATGCACGAATGCTGGATTGCATTAGACAGTCCACTAGGTCCAACATGGCTGCTGCAAAAATTTGCTGAACCTAAGGCAGGCCCTGAGCGGCACGGTTCACAAGCTCGAGTTCGGCTGCGGCAACAACGAACACATCAGCACTCAGGTTGTGCCGAAGCAATTTGTGGAGATTCCCCCCATAATGCGTTGAACACGGCTTTCGGCAAAATGGGTGTTGCCCTTGTACGCAAGGACCATACGGTTTTAGACAGACATGCTGAACGAGTCAAGAGGCACTCCATTGACTTTCTGCTCAGCATCGGCTGTAAATGTCGCCGCGAGGGATGTTTCCTTGAATTCGACAAAAACCTGACGCTGGCCCGCCCAGCACAACTTGCAGCAGACATGGCACCCGCATCGTGACGTACAATTCAGCAAGTCACAAAGCCAAGCAGTCGTTCTCCATCGTTGTCTGTGAGGAAAGCAGGTCCACCACAGACATGATTAAACATGAAACGTTTCACGGAAGGAAGGAACATCTTCACAACCTTCCACAACACAGCCACTTCCCCTGTACACGAGCGAGCACTATGCCCATGCACATCTCATCTTTGCTGTGGATACACGTGCGTCTTACGTCGGGTTCCGTTTGAACGCATCGTTGAAGAGAGCGGCACTCGGACAGTTCCTTCCATGCTTCTACTTGTTTTGCAGCCTTCCCGAGCCCCGCTCAGCTGTGCCATAACTCCAGCTACGGATTCGGCTCTCCGAATCTCGCAAGACCCCTTCCGTGCGGAACCATCTGTCCAAGGAAGTCTCCTTCGTCACCTCGTTGTAATTTGCTCTTCCCGGGAGGCTCTCTGCCTCTTGGAGCAACTGCACCTGCAGGAGCCGCTGGTTCATGGCAAGCCGCCGCCGATGACTGCACCATATTGCACCACTTGCACAGCCAGCTCTCGAGGTGAAAAGCAGCACACACCATGCTAGGGCTGGAATACCAGAATGCCAAAGGGCCAGATACAACAGAAAGAGGCCCCACTGCGCCCGTCAGGCATTCACACCAAGGCACGACGATTGCTCTCCACTTGACTAAGTGGTCGGCAAAGTTAGCAGGCACTCATTTGCAGTCTGTTTGGAGTGTTTCCGACACATGGCTGCGGGGATGAGCCTTGCTGGCTCAGTCATTCCTAGGTTAAAGGCAAGATTCATGATACCATTATGGTCCCGTTTCTCTGGTGGGCCCCCAAGCGTTTTTCTCAGCACGATGATGCGATCTGTTGAGATTCCGTAATACGCCAATCCAACGATCGGAGAATTTGCACCCTCCTCTGAATAACAAATGTCATATGTGTTGGGTTGATATCGCATCTGCCGGTAGAATAGTTTGGCTGCGAGGCTGTTCGAGTTTTGCAAAGACACGCATGGAGCCTCTGGAGATGATTTGCGCAAGTTTATGACGCAGCCAGAGGGAGGCTCCCGCAGAAGCAAAACAGGCAAGCAGACAGCAACACAAGCTCGGTCAGCTTGGGGCTTCTTCGGCAAAAACGGGCTCGAAACGGTTGGAATGACTGAATAAGCTGATGCTACTTGCACCGCATCTCGGGTTCGGCCATGCTAAGTGTCCCGCTTGCGACCATCGGCAGCGCTTCTCGAAAGTACTCACAGCACTTGAAAGCGGCACCACCTCATGCGCACACATGTTGGAGGTTCTCGCACGAAGATCCGAAACCTGAAACCTGCGGAACCCGGTCCGAGCGCACGACGTTGGGTGCTGCTTGAACTGTAGGAACTTCAAGGATGCGAAGGGCAACTTCCTGGGTGAGCAGCTGACTGAGGTATGCGCCTTGCTCACAGCTTATTCGAGGGAAGGGCCCACTCCCCTGCGTGTTCGCAGGATGTGACAATGGAACTGTACCTTTTGCTTGAACACTCCCCCGTCATAGGCGACATGAATGCAGCTGTTGCTGTACAATATGTTTCAAGGCTTCACACTTCCCACGCCGTGGGCACATGATGATGTTGGCACGGAGCTTCAGCCTAGCACAACAGATTCGAGCATGGCCGGACTTCTCCCAAGTGCTTGAGTCCGCTTGAGCCTGATAGACTGCATCAGAACAGAGAGGCCCTGCTCCCAAGCCGAGGAAACTGCACAGGCGGCCACCTCATGTTCCAGTTCCCCGTGACGCACTGCAGTTCCAGTCGGAAGCAAGGGCTGGCACGGTGGCACCCAGACAAACGGAATCCACCGCAAACTGATGCCAGGCGGTCCGAAGCAGGAGCAAGGCCTCGAAACACTGGTCTTGGCTCGCGGGTATCAGCAACCAACACTCTTTGATACTCTTTGTGGGAGAGAGGAAAAGAGAGCGGAACGAGCGAGAAACAGCCTGAAAAAGCAGAAAGGCAGAATGTCCAGACAAGGGAGACAAAGCCTTTCTCGTGGATCGAATGGTGCAAGCTTGTTTACTGAACTCGCCACTCCACTGCCACACAAGCCCTTTGCGTTGCCTTTTCACCCCTCCTTCACTCCTTTCCTTTCCGTCTCGTGCCTGCCTTGCCACCTTCTGGCTGGCGGACTGAATTGAATCTTTCTCTGTCTGCACATTTCTGTCCGAACAGCGTCAGACAAAAACGAAGGCAGCTGCAATGCAGATCATAAGGCGTGGCAAGTGGTAAACCGACTTGCATAAACAAGCTCGTGTCGCGGTCACAAGAGAAGATGGGGTCATCTAGACGGACAAGCCGAACGATCCGCTACTGCGTGCCTGCACAAATCAAACGGGGCTCCAGCATCCGCCCATCGACTTGCAGCACAGCTTTTCAATGCAACCTCTGCAACAGCTTTGTCGTATCACTCGGCAAGCTGCCCTCAGGGCCCTCAGAGCTGCTTGCCGAGCATGTGACGACGTTCGGCTTCGGGCCCTGCCTGCGTCAGGTTCAGGCATGTCATGACTAAGGTCCGAGGCGGATCAAGCAGCTGGCAGAACGAAATGCAGCATGTGCCAGCAAAGCAGTCAGGCAGTCGGGCGCTCATATGAAGGAGAACTGCGAGTGATGTTGGCGATCATCATGCGGCCTCCGCATGTTGTCCACGAGGATGCTGGTCTCTTCCTTCACGGGTTGTGCGAGGTGCAAAGGGGATGACGCTGCAGTTAGTGGGCTACGACGGCCAGCGTGCACAGTCTCTAAGTCTCGTCAACTCGATGTCAAGGCTTTCCAAGCTTTTGTTCAGCAAGGTGCTGTGCAATAGCCACAATAGGTTGGAGGGCAGCTACGATGCCAATTGTTCCAGGTTGGGTGGGGGGGACTCCGCGAGCGAGCCAGGCTTGTACACACTGACCGCAGTCATACTTGACCGCACAAAGAAACTCGTAGTGGTTCTTGTCGGCCTCGGTCATCTCCCTGACACGCTTCCTCATGCTTTTGCCATTGACGGAAGACATCAACGTGTTGAAGGTACTTTCTCCTGTGGTAGACAGTAAACTAGCAGCCCACTTCCACTCAACGTAGCTACTTCACGCAGATTATCATAAGTGCGCACACACAGACAGACACCCCACGAAGCAAGCGAAGCACGTTGATGTGGAGCGTGGACTGCGGCAGTTTTAACACCCCAGCGGTCCCAGCAGCTTTGTCCGGCATAAGCGTTGACAACTGCAGTGTTCAGCGCCGTTGTAGGCTTGATCTGCCTGTATCTTCCAAAGCCGTCGAGCTGCTTGATACCCAACATCCAATCGATCACACTATCACTTGCGCCTTGTGCGAGCCTGTTGGAGGAGCAATCCCGCATCTGTCGCGCGCCTTTGCACAGCAAAGCCTCTTCTGATCAGTGGCCAGGGAACCGAGCGAAGACGAGGACCGAGCAACTCCAGATGAGGTGAATTCAGAGGTGCCGCTCTTTGAGACTACGCCTACGAATCCGCTGAGAACTAGGCTTCGCTGTAGCCAGAGAGTCGGCTGCAGTGGCGTAAGTAACCTCGGGGATGAGGATGTGCAGACGGACTGTGCAAGTCCAAGAAGTAAGCGGAAGCAAAAGGAGCTGGGGCGGTCGTAGTCTTGCCCCTGAATCGTCTTGTCAAGTTACGGCGTCTGGCTGGAGATGTGCTTTCTTCGCCTGGCTCAGCTACATTGTGGCCCGAAGCTTGACCTATCAAACTTCCAGAATCCTTCCCGCCTGCTGAAGCAGCTGCCAACTCTTGACCCACGACCTGAGCTTCTGTTGCTTCTCTTCTCCAGTGCTTCATCTACCATCGCAGACTCTAAGAAGTGCTCCTGCGCGCCGCGGCCAGTTCCAGGTTAAACTCGAAGATTTCGGGTGAACTGCGGTGCGGGTTCCTGGCATCAGCGACAACCCGACTACCACATACCACACGACATACCACATCATGCAAGAAGCCCAGCTCCCCCACTCGCCCTGATTCCTGGATGCTCGGGAGAGCTCAGAGCGCATGGACCCATGGCAGCTGCGAGAAATGTCATATTCTCTCGACCTCTCAGCAGTGGCTCAGAGCTTGCCACAGCACCTCATGGCAAAGGCTGGGGTTGAGGGCTGAAGCCAAAAGCAAATATTTCTTGCTTCAGCACGGGCTGCAATCTTCTGAGAAAACCTCCTACTGCAGCATGAAGATGCAGAAACATCGAGCCAAGAGAGACGTGTTTAGTGGTCCTCGCAACTTTCTCACCAGTCATCTTGACTCCACTATTGGCTCTGGTACTGTACCTCATATGCCTACAGCTACTACTCGGTGCGGAGTGGCATTGCGGAAAGAAGGCAGGTAGCTCAAGCAGGGTGCGGTTCGAAGGACCTGTGATAGATGGCCCTTCTTCTTGAGCTTCTTTCCATCCTGCAGTGTTGTCTTTCAACCAGTGCTATCCGAAACAGCACGTGGTAAGCCACGGACTTTCATTGTGGAATGGCTCATCATGCCGTAGGCGAACTCGTCTTCATTTTTGAAATATGCCTGCCAGCCGCATGGAAGTGCGACACTAAACGATGAGGCGAGCTCTGCTGACGTAGAACAGCGGAAGTAATTGCGACTTCTGACATCGGCCTTCCGATGCAGACCCTTGATGATGTCTTCCTTCTTGTGGAAGTCTTTGGCTCGCTTCACATAGTCCTCCAGAGGTGGCTTGATGTGGCTTGCGGCCCCGGCTGTGAAGCGCTGAACTTTTCGAAAGAGAGCGCCTTGTGCTTCTCCAAATATCCCAATCTGCGCCGATGCTTGGGCTGGTGCCGCTCCTCACATCACCCACCCCGAAAAGACAAACACGCATCTTTCCTGCCATGTCCCTTTTCCGAGAGATGATTGCTGAAGGTTTTTTTTCATCAGTCCAAGGCCCGTGCCAGGTGAACTCGCTTGTGAACCACATGCCTGGTTGGTAGCTTCGGAAAGGGGCACGAGGCCACGACGAAGCAGTCTTGCAAATCACGACGCCTCAAGCTACCATCACCCATGGCTGACACCACGGCACGCGAAGATGCAAGGTTCAGGATCTGCGAAAAGCGATAACAAAACTCTCCAGTCCTGCACTGTCTTGTCCACTCTATCTCGAGCTGCATGGGCCGTCTCCAACGGTGTGCTGTTATTTCGTTGCAATCAAGACTCTGCACACAGTTGTGCGGTTAGGTGAAAGGTCGTCTCAAGTCAGGTCTTCCCACTCAAGCTGAGAGCCAGCTGCCGGCTCCGAGCTTGAGCCCAGGCGCATATGAAATGACCGCACCTCTGCAGGTCTGCCGTTTTGCATGCATTACCAAAACGCGGCTCAACACTCCAAGCTCGAATCCACCAAGGAGATTGAACAACTCGACCTCTTCCGTGCCATGCCTCGCTAGCACCGGGAGCCGCTCGCGCTCGGCCCATTCTTTTCGCAGACTATGGAGCTCTCCGACTTGAGATCTTGAGAACCAGCTGAAGCCACTCTCAGAGTTCTCGCCGCGATGTGTCCGAGCAGAGCTTGATCTTCTTGCAAGCCTCGAGCAGCGCAGGGCTACAACGCTCCCTTCGTTGCACTCGAGTCTAGAGTCTAGAGTCAACGAGAGATGCCTCCGACTGACGAAAGTGATAATAGCAAGTGAGAGGATCGCCAGGCCCATCACATCGAACTGTGACTAGGGTCGGCCACAGCCCTACAGCTCGTCAAGACAAGCGCACGTTGCCACTCTGGGCAACTCTCCATCGGCATGCAGCAGGCAAGCAGCCACCTTTTTCCTCTTCGACTTCGACGGCGTAGCAGTTCGCAAGCTGCTGACTGCGTCCTGTGCCTGCTGCGCATTTGCAGCGGGGCATCTCCCTCGTTCAGCCGTTCCCTCGAAGTTCCTGCATGCGACAGCTGCTTCACATACACAGTGTCCAAGCGCTGCACGGCCGCCTATTGTCCGATTTCTCTTTCTCGTGCTTGGCAAACGCAATGTCCGCGTGATGCCCACTATCTCGCAGCCTGAAGAGTCAGGGTGTAGTGCAAGATTTTCATCTCATGACAATAATCTAGCAATCAAGGAGGAAACATGACACGCCTGCCAAGCGCAGCACCAATGCAAGCGTCGAGCTCTACTTGGAGATGCAATCCTGCCCGGCTACAAGTCAGTCCTGAAGCCACCTTGCTTGAACTGGGATCCTCCCAAAGCAGAGCAATCTGCTCGTCCGAAAGCTGGACGAAGTCACCCGGCCTGCAGATTCAGAGCAAACCTTAGACTCCTAGACTTCAACAGTCTGTGGTACAGGCGGAGCAGTCCTCTCAAGGCCGCACTTCTCCAAAGAGAGGCCAGCTACTTCAAGGCGATGCAGCCGGATGACCTGCACTGACACTGCACTGACATGCAAAGTCTTGGCAAAATGCGCTTGCAGGGAACTGGGACGGCTGCCGACTTCCCAACAGACATGAAAAGCCTCTTCACTACCTGAGCCATGCCGTCAAATGTCCCAGCCAGAACTGTCTGATGCAAGGTGAACTGGAGGGACTGGCGTGAAACTTGCCGGAGCTGATGCGCACGTCGGCACAGTAGCGGAATTTGCGCATCTTCTCGCCTGTTTCAGAGCCAATGTGTCGTCAAGCTCAGTGCAACAGCTTACCACAAACCTGATGCCCGTCGCACCGTGGCCGGAAGGGATGCAGGAGCAAGAAGTAAGCTGCCACTTTACCACCCCCTCACCCCCTCGCACGCCCATCTGCCTGTGGGCAGTTGGATGCTGGGGAGCTCTTCACACTCCCTCCTGCAAGAGTAGAGAGCAATTGACGTGTCGCCAGCCTGTCTGATCTATCACTGAAGCTCCAATTGCAGTGACAAAGCAGCAGTCAACAATCGAAGAACTGTCCGCTGCACGGTCTCGAAGTTGGCCCAGCCATCGCCACGCGACAGGCAGATGCCCTGCAGTTCATTCAAAAAGCACCACTTACAGTATTGGGCGGCGCTGAGGCGCCTGGCCTGGCCTCCCGTAGCTGCTGGCACTGCTCATCTGTAAGCTCAGCGGAGCTCCTTCGATGCACGCAGGAGCTAAGGGCTTCCAACGAAATCTTACCGGTAATAACATGCCAATGTGTGCACGCGTGTCTGTCTACATCCATATATCCTCAATGGACGGTGGGCTCAAGTTTTGCACGGAACCCGATCCTTCCATTGCTGCTTGTCCAACCATCATACCAAGCCCGATAGGTCTTGGACACATGACCTTGGCTTCTGCTTGCTCAAGCAAAGCAGGATGGAGCCTTGAAGGAACAAGGAGTTCAACGGTGCTCACAGAGAAGTGCTTAAAGTTTCTATGAAAACTCAGCCCGACTAGCAAGCTGTTTACTGTTGCTGTGTTACACTTCCCACTGAGGGCGCGACTGTTTAGATGGCAAGTAAGGCGACCATTGGTCGTGAAGATCATGAGCCCAGTCGTGCACCTTCAGCCGTAACTCAGGCACGGCAAGGAACATAGAATCATAGACCTAATCATATCCAATGAGCCAACCCTGATCAGTCTCTCGAAGGTTCAGATCCTGCTTGGATGCACCCGACCCTGCCTGTCAAGCTGCCCAACTGGCTTGGGTGGCCTCGTAGGACACATCCTGCACTCGCTTTCAGGTCGCACAACGAAAAAATTGAAGCGGCTGCACTATCTGCTGACCTCCTCGCAATATCTCCCATGCCTCCCTTGGTCATGTCTGTGATCATTGGCCTGCCCAAATTCTAATGAGCTTCGTTCCTATGCTATGCGCACCACAGCTGTGTCTTTTTCACGTAGCCGGGCGTGGCGCCTGGGTTTGTAGAGCGCAAAGGCAACAATGCTCTCCGATTCGTCCTGGTCTCCTGCAGCATCTGCAAATACGCAGCCCTGTTCACGATTCGATGCTATAAAAGCATCATGCTGTTCTTGTGCCTTGTGCTTCTTCCGGCTCTCCGGAATCCAGTTCTCGCTTCACCCCGCGAGACGAGCCGGCGGCCATTGTGAACAGGCTCCAGATGCATGTTATACGTGGGTTGAAGAGAGACTGCAATCCGAGAGACGTTGTTATGTATTCGGCAAGCTGCAGCCTGCAAGATGAAGGGGTTGTTGGCCAAAGATGTTCACACTACATCAACACTGTGCTGTACCGCATCGGGCAGTGGTGCGCATGGTGATGGCTCTTGCCACAGCTGCTGGGCCAACGCTTCTATCAGATGTTGCACCAGTAACAACATGTCAGCCGACAACTTATATCTGAGCTCTCGCAAGAGGCAACCCCTGCATTCGCTCGGGCCGCTAGGGTTCCAACTCCATCAATGACCTCTCCGCGCTGAGAGGTCTCGTCAGCCTCGAAATGCGAGGCAGGTGATTCACAAGTGGTCGCTCAGCTCTTGGCTGGCAAACCTATTTCAATTATGCCCATGCCCATGTACATGCACAGCTACGAATGCGGCACAGCCCGACGACAACAAAAGGTTTACATACTGGGCCTGTCCCTAGGCCATTGGGCACCGTGGTCAGGAGAGGCCTTGTGATTGTGGCCGTTCGATTATTCAGCATTTCACAATGCACACGCACGCCCGCAGCAAGCACATGTGCGCACGGCGCACAATCGCAAGACCACGCTCGCATAAACGCACAGACACAAAACGCACCACTGCAACATCGTGCGGAAGCCTCCAGCAATACGGTACAGCGCTACAGCTAGCATGGCTTCTGGCATCTTCTGGCCTTGGACTTCTTGCTTTTGAGGTGCTTCAGGAAAACGTCCTGGCTTGTGTCATCGTTGTGGCCCCCAACATCTCGACAGTGGCACAGGATGAGAGCTGCAAACGCTGTCCTTGATCTCATCATCATAGGGTCGGATAATGTTATCGCAAAGCTCCTCCGAGCGAGATTGAAGGACAAGCATCCAGAGCACTCGTATCTCAGCTTGAATCCTTCATGGCATGGGACTGCCATCTCGCAGCATGGTCCGTCCGGTTGGTGGAGGCAGACACCTCCACAACCAAACTGACAGCTCGCAAGAATGGCGGAACACGTCGTCGTAAAAATTCAACCCTCAGGAAAAGCTAGCATGTAAGCTCTGGCGAAACACAGACACGTTTGTCGGAGGCAGAACGACACAGCAGCTTGAGGCATAGACTGGGACCATCCTCCAGCCGGCGTCGACCTCCCAGTTGATGGTTTCAGCGCTATGCTGCGCCAAGCCCAAGGGCAAGAACCTCGAGCAGCTCGTGCTGGGCAAAGAGAGCCTCGGCCTGAGCTGCGACGTGGCCTTAACTTAACACAGCACCTAGCTGGACCTAGCTTCCAGAGAAAATACGAGCTGCTTCCGCCCCCAGATTCACTGTCGAAGTCACAAGGTGCGAGCACAGCCATTGGTTTAGAGGATGACAAGTTATTAAAGTCGACGGCCTGTAGTTGGGGTAAACGGGTTTGCATCAGGATTTCCAACTATGCGTTTGTGTATACAGATCTATGAATATATGCATGAATGAGACTCTCAAAACACGTATACGAGATACTGCTAGGTTTGCCTGCGACCTGAGTTTACGAGTCGTAACATCTTCATGCATAGGCCGCGCACATCGCAGATTTTCTCGATGTGATCGTACACATCGTCCTGCAGAGAAATGGCCCAGCGGCAGTCTAAACAATACGGGCGCACCGCCATACACGGCCATCTCGAACCCTTCAAGGCCAAGCTGTCTTCCAGGCTCAAAGCACACTTCATGACACTTCCAACTCCCCATCTCCACCGACTGCACTTTCACCACGCCACCTCCGTGAAGCTGAGGCCGACCTCCACGTCACCACGGGGGAATGGTTGCTGACTCTTCGAGACGTCTGCGGCAGGTTCCTGGGTCCTGGGTGCTGCCGGGAGACAGATTCCAGTGTGTGCGCCACCGTTAATCTGCAGAGCTCACATCCTTGGCCGGGCTTTGCTGTGGCAGAGGCCCTGTGTTGCACAGTTGCACATGTAGCTTGCATCTGTGGCAACAGCACCGCCGAATGCACAATGGCTGTCGTCATTCAGCATCCGCTAATCAATGAAATGCATTGGCACTACGTAGCACTGGAGCACGAATGCGTCGAGGAGTCGAATGTATTTCTGCGCCTCTCGGGCGTGACGCTCCATGGATGCAAGCCATGCTGCCCCTCTGACACTGTAGAGTGATAGCGCCTTCTGATACTTGTTCTTGACTTCGAAATCCTTCTCCACATTGAATTCCTGAAGGCAGGCAGTCGAAGGAATCAGCTCACATGAATACATGACACTGCCTGCATCTCACATGCAATGATTACGAAGGCACTTCCAAAACCATCATTTTAGCGTGCACAGTAGCTAAGCCCGGTCGTGTCGCAAGAGGCCCCGTAATTAGAGCTAGCACATGGCCTCGACGCAAAGCGATGTTGTGAAGACTCGTCCGAAATCGGTTCAAGCAAATGACATAAGCAGGCTGATCAGTCTGTCTGCGACTATGACCATGACCATGCGCGAACATGCACGAGCGCCAGCAGGCAGGCCTCAGGCATGCGGATTGTGCCGAAGGCCTCGATGCCCAATCTTTCACTTGCGGGTGGCTTGCAATTACAAAGACGAAGTACTCGAACTACGTCAGCGTGCGCGTCGACAAAGGCTTCAAATCCAACGCCAGGCCTGGAAAGCCAGGAGTCCGACTCCAATCACGCCCTGGAGGCGCTTGCAGTTGCACTCGTTTCAATCGACTGCAGCTTGAGAGTTGAAGTTTGAGGCGAACACCCGGCCAGAGCATGGCCTCAACATGGCTCCGCCCATGCTTGGACAGTAAGGCCGATTGATCTGGGCTGATTTTTGGCGAAGCCTTCTGGGCTGACGGAGTTCGGAAGCTGAAAGCCTTGTGCTGTTCAAGCCCTGCAAGAATGTGCTACTCGTACTGGAAAGACTCTTGCGGAGAGCATGGCATACAGACAGACATTGAAATCATGGAGCATGTCTTTAAGCTTTGCTGGCACTTGGGGCGAAGCTCTTGCCCACGCGGCTTGAACCATCCACGATAATGCTATTGCGTAAAATGCATAGCATGAACCTGGATTCTTTATGTCCGGCCGGTCCTACGCCCTACGGTCACTAGACGTCGGGTGGGAGTGAAGCCCGGAGACGCTGGAGGCTGCAACATGAGGACGGTAGAAAAAAGAGCTCACTCCACGCCGCAGCACCTGCTAACATGGCAGACTTAGTAGACTCAGGTTAAGCAGGTTCGGGCCCAGCATCATGAACATCATGCAAGTGTCGTTTCTCCAACACTCGACTCATCAAGGTGCCCCGATGACAAAAAGAGCGTGCAGGGATGTGCGCGCTGATGCTGTCGCTCGCAGGATCGGAACAAGCGCGGCCCGGGCTCGGGCTGGGACAGCGCCGAGGAACTAGCGAGCAAGTCGACGCCAAGGGGTCCGGTGCAGCTTCGAGAAAGGAATCTTTACGAACAGTATGCACACTGACAAAGCATCGTATGCAGTCGGTTGGAGCAACTCTTTCTGACACTCTCCTGCCAGGATTTCCGAGTGCGGGTTCGCACATGCCAGGAATTGCCACAGTAAACCATTTGTCTTGTCTGAGTCTTCTCGTAGGACCTGAAACAAAGAGTGGCGTTTCCTTGGCCTATTGCTCGGTGAACCCTGCTGTATTGCTGACGCTGCCGACTAGCCGAGGCTACAGCGATCCAGCAGGTGTAAACACCAAGGTACTCCGAGCCCAGTGAGACATCTTTGCGAAAACGAATCTGGGACTGTGCCTGTTGCTCTCTTGCAGATCTTGTTACGGGGCATGAGGCTGTGCTAATGCTACGAAACACCTCTTACTGCCTAACAAGCTGACGCTCTCTCATTTGCCACGCTGCTTCGCGGCATCAGGAGAGGTTTCAGGCCTTGCAAACAATCTACACCCTTGACGACCTTGACTGAAGTCAACTTGGCCCTGCCCTGCTTAGACCCACCTCAAGGGAAGCTTTGAATCGCGTGAATGCGGTTGTCATCGCCTGCAGGGTGATGCGAAATGAGGCAAGACACAGGCTGGGCCACATCCTGCTGCAGTGCTTGGAGAGTCCAATTGCTACATCTTCTGCATACCCCGCCTGCGTCTTAAGGACATAATCGTTGTTCGGCGCAGCCTGCGCACCGAGAGGCGCCTTCATCCCTTCCCTGTTGGCCACGGCAGCGGGTGCTCCCATCATGGACTCGCCTGCTCCAGCTTGGCGAAGTACTGCTGGAATTCGTCCTGAGGCGGGTGGCTGCTGGATGGTTTTGTCCTTCGTGACATTGTCGCTGTCTGCCTTCTTCCCCAAGTGAGTCATGCAACAGCACATGTTGACCTGGCCCAGACCAGTCGCATTCACTGAAGGTGAGACAAGGGACAAACTTTGCACGATCCACCAGCACATCTGGATCGTTTGGCGCTGCTGCCAGAGCTCTCTGCAGGTCCTGAGCAGTTCCAGACGACTGCACATGCCTGCATGGACGCACGTGCCGGGTCTTTCGAGTCTCCTCCACTGCCTCGGAGAACATGCCGCGCTGCATGTTGGCCAATGCCTGCAAGGGTCTTTGCAGCACTAGGCAACTCGCTGTCGAGTTTCTGGTTTCGGGCAGGCCGCAAGAGGGCAGGAACCCCGAAATCAGCCCAGGGAGAGGAACGAGACAAGGAGGCCACGGCAAGGTTCCAAGGAAGCACAGTTAAGAAAAGAAGCGGTAGCATGCCGTGGCCATGATGAGTGTATGAATGGGGAAGCACATGGCGCAAACACTTCAGCACACCTTGCCAGTCTGGAGCAGCACGGACCCAGAACCCGAGTCCTTGGCAACGAAGCGTTCTTCAGCTCGTGGCGTCTTTCCGTTTTATTCATGCAACTTCATGCAACGTCGGGATTGGTGGGGGCTAGCAGCCAACATACCTGTTCTGAGGTTGAACAGCACTCTTAAAAGAGCATGGGCAACAAACACACAAACTTCGAGGCCGCAGCGTCGCCCTCCACAGCAGGGAATTGAGAGCAGAGGTCGCAGTACGTCAGGTACCTCGTGTCTCGAAACTTGAGACGCAAGTGTAGCACAGGGTGCCGGGCGCACGCTTCCTCTGGGTCTCCTGTTGCCAATTTTACCGCCGCAGCTGCGAGCCTGAATGCGGCCTGTGGGACAGAACATGGAAAAGTAGCCTGGCTGCTTCACAGCATTCAGAGCCCTCCAAGTGCCGTGCGGAATCGTCGTTGTTTCCAGATGCATCCTCGCACATGTCGATGTTCTGTGCACATGTGGTAGTTACGCGAAGCGTGGCATCAGGAATCAGATGTCCTTCAACAGCTTCTCAGCCATTGCTACCTGGTTGCAGCTGAGGGCCAGGAGAATGGTCAGCACCTGTCATAGGCGCTCCAAGCCAAGCTATTCAGCTATTCATCAGAAAGCCAACCACACACTGTCGGTGCTCGTGCACGCACCCATCATGTCGCCAGTCTCAGAAGCAGCCAGGTCCCTCAGTGTCCCCACCCTGGGCAATGGCCTGCATTTCCAGCACCGGGTGTGCCTGATTGCGGCAAGCCAACATGAGTTGACAAATCTGCCATGCACAGGGTGCCTTTGTCATCTGCGCTGCTTCATTCCAACTACCTTGCACATCCCATCTTGTGAGACGGCACACTCGACATGTCTTGACAATGCAGACTCCAACTCGGTGACGAGCCATCCATGGCCAGGACCATGGCATTGAGCATTGCACAGCTCATGTCCTTGCAAAGCTCCAAGCTCTCAGGTGCATTCTAGCAGTTCTAGCAGCTACACATGGTGCCCTTCCACGTTTATTCCGGCCTGCGTCTCCTTCGCTAGGGCTGCTAACCGCTCCTGTTCGAAATCCACGGAACAAAGACAACTCCCCCGAAAATTGCAGGCAGTTGACGACTTCTTTGAAGCCTTGCCTTGGCTGATTTGACCTGAGCCTCATTCCTGGACTTGGTGATGACAGCCAGCAAAGCCGCCTTGATTCAGCTCTCTAATATATAATTGCGCGCTTCGAGCTGTAACACCTTAAGGCATCGCTAGCCAAGCAGCAGCGCGCTGACCGGGAATCTCGGAGTTTTGCATGGCCTGCGCTAGAACCGGCTGGAAACTGGGGCCCTGATGTGCGACTTTGTTCACCCTGTCCTTCAGTCTCTCGATCTGTGGGATGGCCAGGCAACAGCGAGCAAGAGTGGCACCAAGCCTTTCATGTTGCTGACTCGAGCTAACATTTGCAGGCAAAACGGCTGGCTCAAGTGAGCTCAATGGAAGCCCTGCTGTAAACCGCCAGAGCCGTAAACACCTGCCCTAAGTCCCAAGTCCCTCCGTGGCTGAGGCTCCATGCTCGCTCTGTGTCAGCTCGCTGGAGCCATGTGCAGACTCGCACAGCTGCATAGCCTGATGTCTCTTGCTCTCACTCCCGACTCTTGTGCACTGGCATTGAAGACCAGAGCCTTGACGAAGTTGCCTACATAGAAGTTGTCTCGCACCTGACTCCCCGGAGCTGAGCCCTGCTTGCAGAGCCTGAAATCTTGTTGCCTCCTGGAGCTCCTCCTCCATGGTGGCACCTGAGCGCTTCGTTAAAAGACTCTGCTTCAGGAGACTTTGAGTGCTTCGCAGGGCTGAGGGCTCTGCGATGCTCGGCACGGCTCAAGCGGTTTGGAGGTGAGGATACTCAGAACCCCCTTCAATGGACTGCGGCACGAAAGCTTGCAGCTCTGCGATTTGCAATATGCACAGAACAGCGCAAGCCACGCGAAGACAGCCACTGGCCAGTTTTCTCCGGTGCGCTTCGAGCCATTCTCCCGCACAGCGGCACGCCGAGGCGCCACGCTGCTTGCGACGACACTTCTGAAAGCCTTAAGCTTGTCGGCTCGGGACTTGCGCCAGCTTGGAAGCTGCGTTGGCGTGCTGAGGCAACCGTTTTCCGCTAATGAGCAGTCGAAGCAGGGGGCTTCTTCTGGGAAGCCATTTTCTTGCAGATGTACAGATAGTGCATTTTGCTCGTCTCATTCGGGGGCAACTCCACCACCTGCACCTGCCGCTGCTCTCGGAGCGGCTTGGCGAAGATGAGTCAGCAGCAAATAAACTTCATTCCAATACCAAAAACCACGCGCCGGCCTCGAAGCTCAGAAGCGACGGTGTCAGGAACTCCTGGGCTGAGGAGTCCGGAGCCACATGACAGCAGCCCTCACAACATTGGTGGCGAAGACCCGCTGAATCGAGGCTCTCTGTCTCTCGTCTTTGCATCGAAGACTCTAAACGTGTGTCGGGAGCACCATACGAAATGACCAGCAACCTTCCGCCTGTCCGCAGAACTCGCGACACCTGTGGCCGCAGTGCTTCATCTCAGCCTGCTCAAATGATTCAGTCTTCGACCTCCTCCACTTTCTAGATTGTCCAAACGTCTCGGATTCTATCCTCCAAAGTTCAAGCCTTCGAACTTTCAAGCCCTCAAACCCTCCTGATCCAACACCCTCACTCGGGACACGGGGTTGGAAGTATCAGCTTCTTCGTCCAGCGGCGAAAATCATCGAAATATCAGATTTGCAAGGTAGTATTCCTAATACCTGACACAGAACTCCGAAGCTCAAGTGCCACAACGTAGTCTACCCAAGTTGTTTCGGATTCATTCTACGGGCATGCCCTGCCTGCAGCAAGTAGATCATGATGATTTCAGCCTGAGATCTGCTCTCTGAGTGCAGTCAGCAGACCAAGCGGTTTCTGCTTCTTACGAAGATCCTCCGTGGATGTGCGTAACCATCGAGTCTCCCGAACAATCTGCTTCACTACAGCATCTGACCCCGACTGGGCCCAAGGCATCAGAGCAAGCGAAAGTGTCAATGAGGCTCTTGTCAAGGACTAAATCGAAGGCGTTGTCGGGAAGCGACAAATCCTTATCAGTTGTGTGACTGAAGACATGGGCCGTATCGATCTCTTTGATTAGAGACTCAACCCGACCTTTGCATGTCTGCGGATGCCATCAGCCAGAACAGTGGCAAAAGCTTGAAAGCCACATCAGGACTCGAATTTGTTCTCCGTCCATCCAGTCAAGTATCCAGGGCATCCATCTGCAGCCAAAGCATTCGTGGCCTCTGAGCCAGAGCAAAAGCCCCCGAGCTGCAGGTCCCTCCGAGGAAAAAATGGCCTCTTCATATTTCGGGCCATCATCTGCGAGATGACAACTTCAGAGTTGTCAACATTGATGATGTTTTGATAACCATCATCATACCTCGATCGGGACATCAACGCACTCCGGGTCTCTTCTGGAAACAGCCCACATCTGACCCACGGTGTGCAGCAAAGATGCATGTCTTCCGGCAGGAGACTGTTTCCACATCCCAAGTGGAGGACATCTTGGTTCTACCCCCACCCCTGATGGTTTTACATCATGTCATTAAGTCATGGCAAGGGTCTTGAAACAGGTGCCACCAAACGGCCTGCAGAGGTGTTGTGATCGGTCGCCTCCCGGATCCAGCTCTTCAGGTCAGCGTAGCCGCGGAGCCACTCGAAAGGCTCCGGATCCGCTTTGTAGCGCATGTCCCAGTACTCCTAGGAAGGAATTGGACAGACATTGAGGGATAGCCTGTTCCGCATCACACAAACGCAGGCGACGAGAGTGCCTAGCCTAGCGTCTGGTCCATCACCATACGGCACGGTACTGGTAGCCCTCAGTGTGAACATGCGCAAAGAACGGCTTGACCCGTCGAAGCACAGGAATGTAGTCAAGAGGGCAACACCCGAGACAGTCAAGGATTCCTGTGCAACTCTGAATGCTGGTACAAGCTGCGACTCATCCTCGCCGCCACCTTCGCAAGTCTTCAGACAAGATACCAACTCCGCATTTCAGCTTTGGTCACAGCGGTCCCATCTGAGAATCATGCTGTCTGATGGCATATCCTTCCTCGTCCTCGGGCATCAATACACGACAAGGCACCCAGCTCAGTTTTTTGCTGAAGCAACAACCGACACTCGCTACACCCTGTCCTTTCCTACATGGTCAGTCTGCAGACAACGAGCAAAGGAAGTGTTGGCCAGATGCCATGACAGAGAACAGGAACTCCGCTCCCCTGCTGTGACGTGATTAGGAGTCTCGGTTTACAGGTGAAGCCTCTAGCAGATCGGCACCATGCTTAGGTATGACATCAGTGCTTTGTTGCTCACGGTCTTTGGGCCAGCATCCAACTTCCTGAAATCATGCCACTACAAGCTGTCTTCATTGCTCCACGCTCAGATGCACCGTACCAGGCAGTGCACAGTTTTTGCCTCATGTCTGTGTCAACAGCACGGCACAGCTGGCGCAGTTGCGAAGATCTTTGCTTCGATGCATCTTAAGAGGCAAGTAACACCAGCATCTCTTCGACGCAAAGTCACGCAAAATCTGTGTCATGGAATCATGATTGCATCATCCTCATCATCCCGGTGCGTATCCTCGCTGGACGGCGAGATGGACATCTCGGCACACCTCCATGTCGCGCAGAAGTACCGCAGGTACCAGAAGACTGCCTTAGAAAGAAAGCGGCCTCTCCTTCCCTAGTTGAAGGAAGCATCCAAGGCAGAGTCGAGCGGCCCAAGCAGAGCCTATGAAGGACCCGAAGCAGATGTCAGCTGGGTGGTGGTCATTCTCCCGAACGCGCGAGGAAGCAATCCAGAATGCCAGCATGACGGGGCTGAGCGCCACGAGCAGGGCCACATTCGTGCAGTCCTGTACGCCTGAAGACTTGTGCCAGATGCGGTACTGTAGGCTCCACAACTTGCAAGCACGCGTGCATTCAAAGCCTAGGCATGTCTTCATCTTCATCGGCTGTGCAGTTACCTGCCAATCATTTGCTGACTGCTGAAGCGTGGTCCAGTCCGAACGAGTCTACTCCCAAGCCTTCCGTAGGAGGAAGAGAGAGGTGAACAGCATGGAAGAAAACGACCTCGTATGACTTGAGGTCACTGTTGCCCACTCTCGAGAATGAGGACAACAACAACCAAACCAACTAAGCCTGGGGCAGGCTGGCGTGGCCAGATGGGAAGGATTTATGGGCTTCAGCGGTGCCTGCAGGAAGCGTGCACGCACGCGTCACGGGGTCGAAACCACACTCGTCATAAAGGTAGGGCCGCCAGTAGCCAATGTAGTTTTTGATCAAGTCAGTGAGAAAAACGGTGCAGGCCACTGTCAGCATGAAGCCCCTCCTGAAGCTGCACAGCTGCCAATTTCAGGTGAAAGAATCTCCAAACAGAAGCTCTTAGAGTCTTAGAGACCTTAGGGCAGAAACCGAGGCGCAGGAAGGAGGCGGCTTCCCCAGGCTTTGGTGCCCAGCACGTCACGGCTCCAAGCACCCCTCAGCGGCACAGCACAGCAGTCGCTACTCAAGACTTGACTCAACAGACTCATGGTCCCTACGAGTACCCAGCTTCTGAAGACACTAATCCTTGATGCTCATGTCTGCCGCCCAGCTGCCAAGCGGCACCAGCACGCACAACGCAACCAGGAGCGCTGTTGGACAGATCTGCTGATGGGAGGGGATGTATGGATTGTCCAAGCTGAGCTCTTTCAGCACCACAGAGGTGCCATTGCCTTGGAGGATGCGCAAAACGGCTTCAGTTGCAAGGCCCATTGAAAAAGAGCGCCGAGGCGCTGAGAGTCACAAGCTGCATTGGAATTGGCCGGTCATACGGATGTAGCAGCGGCAGCTCAAGCAGCAAGCAAGAGAAGGTGAAGATGCCGATGAGAAGCGTGTCACGCCCGAAAATCACGCGGTTTTCCAGCGGCATCTTCAAACGATCGAGACCATTGTCTACCAAAGACGCTACCGGCGCGGTTGAAGTCCAACTAGATGCAAATGCTCCAACACTGCGAATGTATGACTTCGGAGATCCAGATCTCGCAGTCGTTTGTCGAAGTTAATGTGAGCCTTGAGATCTCCGTATTCCCAATGGCTTCCAGAAGTCAGGCCTACACACTGCTTTGAGCCCATCGTGTGGGTCCCGGGATCGTGTCTTGCTACGTGGTGCCGGCGCATGAAGGTCTTGAGCTGAAATCAGGGGAGAGCTCGAAAATTAGCTCAACGAAGCTTCCCTGCGGTATGAGTGCTGCGAGTACAGTAGTACCAATGATGCAGAGGTTGCATACTCCAACGCCACGTGTGGGGAGGTGCAGCTGTTCAGGAGAACTCGAGAGTCGGGACTGGGCGTTGCCGTGAAGAGCTACTCCCATGATCTATATCTGTGCGATTCTTGACCTCAGTTATCTGACATCACCTTGCAAAGCAGATAGCACTGCCAGACTCTTCGTGCAAACTTAGGTGGGGCAGGGCCAGGACCTTGCTAGAATGAAGACCCCTTTGGCCAGTTCATCAACGAATTGTGCACGGGTTTCAGACGACTCTTTTGCTGCAACAATTGCAGGGTGCAGGAGCTCCCGGCCGGCCTTGCCCTGGAGCTCCAAGCCGCGCTCTCTTACAGAGCTTCCTTTAGCCGACGCCTTTTCTTTTGGCACGGCGCCTTTATGGTCTTGCCAATCGGCGAAAAGCCCCAGGGCAAAGGTGGCGGTGGGCAAAGCGCGCAGCGAAGGTCAGTGCTGCGTCCCATTGGCTTCGCCCACTTCGCCATCTTCTGCGCGGTTGTGAGGAATGTTGCGCAATACCCGGAAGGAGCACGCAAAAGCACAGAATGCAACGAGGGAAATCAAGAGACAAAGGAGAGAGAACTCCTTGTCGCGCATTACGTGGGCTAAGCATGGGCCCGTTCCAAGACCCAAAGCGACGGCCATTTCAGATGCTGTCACTGCTTGGCCATAGCCTAGCGACTCACCTTTTGCAAGGTCTGCCATCATCGACATGGATGTGGGGTCTGCTGCTCCATTGACTGCGCTGCAAGTCATCAGAATCAGAAGAATGGGCAGCAGGCTGTTGCAGTCCACAAAACCTATGGCGGCAATGCACAGTGCCATAAGACACAGTATCGCAGGGCAGGATAGCAGCACCGCCTCGCGATTCTTGGCCGAGCTTGCAAAGCGTCCAGACCATTGGGAGAACAGGGATTGCATTAACCCAGCGGGAATCGCAGTAAGTCCGATTGCAGTTGGCGAAAAGGCTCTTCGATGCATCTCGAGTGCACTGGCAGTGATGGCAGCACTGGAACAGCCGAAGAGACAAACTAGCTCCAAGGCTAGAATCCATGCTCGCAGCCCCACCGAAACATAAACTCCAAGAGCCTTCGAAAAGAAAGCACTAGGCGTTCCTGCTGACTTCACCTTGTCGTGACTATCGGAATCCTGAAGAAGGGGCTGAGTCGATTGAGACAGCGGAGGGACTGCATTGAGCATCCAGAAGGCCAGTGCCAGAAGAAGCAGCGGATGCACCAAAGCCCAAAACCGCTGCTGTCCTTCAGCCGCCAGGTCGTAGACTGCTCCCATCGCTGGTGGTCCGACCATGTTTCCAAGGGTGCCTCAAAGACACAGATCCCAGTGCGCCGCCCCGCTTGCCCTATGCGGAACCCCAGCAAATTGCAGCAAACAGTGATAGAAAGTGTTGCTGAACTGGTCAGCGTGACCCAAGCCCACCGCAGAGCCCAGGTGCCGCGACCGTGATGGCTCGCTGAATCGCTCCATAATGAGGGCCATGCACGCATTGAAGAATCCCTCGGAAAACAAGATGACAAAAAGCTGGCTACAAGAAGCACTTGAGCGCCGGACAGAGAAAGAGCCGCCGAGCGTTGCACGCGAGACGAGCTGGCACCAGAAGCTCGGGCAGACTGCCCCCAGCAGCACTCCAGCCTCACATGCGTGAGTTTCTATGGAACCGGTCCCATTCCTCTTCCCTTCCGAACATCATTCCGAACGTCCGAGGTGCCATCGATGCCAGGAGCGCCCTTTGCAGAATGGGCAGAGGCCCGCAGCTGTCGATCGCCAAGCCGGTTGGCACCAGCACAAAGAAGCCTCCGCGAAAGGAAATAGCAAGCGAGCACAGGGCTGAAGGTCACGGCCAAGAAGCCGCCGAAGTATTGCGCTGACAGGAGCACGCCCACCTCGCTTCCCCCCCCCCCCCCCCCCCCAGAGACTCAGAGGACAGATGGGGCCCTGGCTTCCGCCCTGGAAACCAAGAAAGGCGCGATCGGCACATACCCGTTTTCCTGAGAGACACTGCGCACTGACATTCGCAAAGCCTGAAGCTAGCAGCACAACTTCCAGAACTTCTGTGTGAAGTCACACTCCGGAAGATGTGCCATGAGACAAGGAACGCACCGAATGCAGCAGAGTCACGATGTAGCAACAAGCAAATATAGCGAATCTGGAAAGTCTCACGACGGCTTCGCTGCCGTGATGGCTTTCAGCTGCCATGTTGGGCAGCAGGGGGGCGACTGACTATGACTAACACTGAATGGTTACGGAGATGAGTTCTGAGTGAATGTCGGCGTATAAGTAGAGCTGACTGCGTGCGTGAGTGAGTGAGTGAGTGAGTGAGTGAGTGAGTGAGTGGAGTGAGTCAGCGAGTGAGCGAGCGAGCGAGTGAATCAGCGCCTGCGCGCGTGGGGGCTGGTGAGTGGGTGGGTGAGTCTGTCTGCCCACTTGTTGTCTCTCTGTCAGGTGTTCGCCGTCTGTTCGTCAGTGCGTCTGTATGTATGTACATATTTGACTGCGTATTGGTATATGTGTGTGTGTGTGTGGCTAGTATCTTCGTGCGGTCTCGGCATGATTCGGCACGAGCACGTTTACTCGCTTACACATGCATGCAGTACATGCAGAAGCTTGAGAGAAGATGTGCTGCGGACATCTGGATGCTTGAGGAGTCAGCCTACAGACTGGATAGCGCAGCCCCCGGCTTGGCAGCTGCCTGTTTCTTGGGATGCGTTCCTTCCTGAAATTATGCTGTCTTCTGTACAACTGACAGCAGAATCCCACAACTCGGCACGGCATTGCAGACGCATGGGTTTACATGGCCATGCCGCTGCGAATTGTAGTGGCTGCCTCGACGGATGCCGAGAGAGATACGAAGGGTCATGGTCCATACACAGAACGGCCCACCTCCAGCGAAAGCTCCAAGCACACGATGGCACTAGGGCGTGGCATGGGAGCCTCTGCCCGTGCCCTACCTAACAAAAGATGCCACATCAAATCGCTTCGCGATATACAGTGGCAGCGCATGGTGGCGCCGTGTACAGCCTCCAGCGGATGGGACGGGAAAAACAGCTCAAGCACAAATCAGCTCAAGCACCTAACGGGCTAGACTCTGCTCCACTTCGCTGGCAAATGTGCTGGCAGAGCGGGCCATTGCAATCAACAGCAGCAGGACTGTTATCCTCAAAAACAGTGAAGTAAAGCCGTCGAAGCCGTCGCCCCACAAGCCTCAGAATGCGAAAAAAAGGCCGTCGGTCTTCGGGTCGCAGACCCATTCTTGAGTTACTCTTTCGGGGGTAATGTTCGCGTATCTGTTCTGTTACATCGTCGCGTGTGACTTGCGTGACTGCTATACACAAGTGCGATCTTTTTTTCTTGTTTTGCTTCACTTCCATACCTTTCGGGTCTCCCTTTGCGTTGTTTTGCTTGCGGCAATAGGCACCAGGAGTCCTGACGCCGCGCTTCCCCTTCCACCCTATTTGGCGGGTAGAACTCGGCTGCACGGAGGTCCCGCAGACCAATGGAAGAGGACTGTGTTGTGTGGCCCCGTGCGAGCCGGACGCTTGGCCCCGTGTTTGGCTCCGCACTTTCAACTTTAAAGAAGGGTGTGTGCGTGTGTGTGTGTGTGCCCGCGCACAAACCCTTTTTCCAAGCGTCTTCCTTTGACAATCTTTTTCACCGTTTGTCAACAGCAGGGGCACCAGGGATGCGTGGCTTGGCCTGGTGCAACGAAGCTCTATCGTCACGCATCAGGATATGGCCCGGGGACGCCTCGACCACGTACCTGCGTATTGCTTGTGACACAATCCACGGGAGTCGCTGTGCACTGGTGATGATGGATTGTCTACGTGGATGTTTGGTTTTCACTGGGAGGACCCCAATTTCAATGTCAGCGCTTCAGCCGTACGAAGACTTCCTGTTTCCGACCAACATGCCAGTGTTTGTGGCTGTCCTTGAAAGGTTAAGTCAGGCCTGTTGTGGTTTAGCTGGGTTATGTAGCAGGGTTACTTCAAGCTGTCCGCCTTTCAGCTTTGCCATTGTCGAACATGAGCTCACGGGTCAAGAGTTCCTGATCAATAGACATTATGCCTTGGTCATCAGGTTTGGTCTTCGCATAGATCCAGCCAATCCTAACTTTGTGTGTGTGTCGAACGGAAAGAAAAGTGAGTAGTATGACCACCGTTTTTCAACCTACATAGTTGTGCACAACCTCTGCAAGTGCCGGGGGACCTGGCATCCGAGTGCCAGCCTACTGCCAGACGCAAAAATGAAGGAGAGGCGTCTTTGACTGAAGTTCGTCATACTTGTAACTTTAATTTGTGAAGAAGGGGCCCCCACTCAACCTTCCTTGCACCTGTGCCTGCGGCAAGCAGTCGACGTGCGGGGTCGGTACGTGATGTCCTTGTGGCAATCCTCAGGAACCTCATCCCCAGTCTCTGAGCCTGTTGCTCCTCTTGGTCGGCACGGCGGGTCAGCGGGCTCACCTGGTTTTGTGCTCCTTGGTACGCCTGGGTCGCGTCTGGTCCTCCGCTGGTGCGGGGTCCTCCTCGGTTCCAGGTGTCGTACCCCTCCACGGCACGGCGTTGCGCCATGGCCCTTTCGCGGATGGCATGTTCCTCCACAACGTTGGTCCCACCTCTGACTGAGAAGGCCGGCGTGGCTTGTGGCGGCATCACAGCTGGTGCGGCCCCTGCCTGTTGTGGAGTCACCCCTCGAAGCCGTCGTGTCCCCTTGTGTCTTCCTTTCGGTGGCTTTGTCTGCGGCGGCCTTCAACTGCGTGTCCTCCTTGGTCTCCTTCTTGGTGCTGCAAGTGTTGCCTTGCTTCTGTGTCTGGGCCTTCTCGGGCCCCAGTCCATATGTCTCTTTGTGCCCCGGGAGGGTGTCATCTTCCCGGGTACTCTTAGCCTTGGGCTTGTCGTCCTTCTTGCTGCTGGTGGTGCTCGAGCCCGAGGAAGAGGAGGCGGAGGTGTGCACTTTCCTCTTCTTTGAGGGTGTGGCTGCATGCGGTGGTGCCCTCGACTTCGACGTCGTTCGTAGGGGTGCTTGTTCCTTTTTGGTCTGCTGGCAGGTTCTCGAAGTCTTCCTGGGTTGCCCGACTTGGCCTGTCTGCTTGGTGCGGGTCCTTATCTTAATAGTAGTCGGTGTTTTTCGCTTCGTTGCTGGTCTCCATTGTAGGTGGCGCCTGGCAAAGTCCGCTACTTGTAGGAGTCGTCGCTTCTCCCGCTCCGGGTCCTCTTGTGAAGCCTGGATGAGGATGAAGAGCTTCCGCGCTGCCCCGCCTTGGGCCAGGCTCTGGTAGATTGCACAGTTTGGCGCGAGGCGGTCATGTGTTTGCCCCGATGAGACAGCGGGGGCAATGCCGAACTCCCTCGATCATCAATGGCTGGGGCTTGTGTTTATCCTCCTGCCCCTTTCTTCCCCTTCTTTCTTGGGAGGTGGTGTCCCCTGCGTACTTTGTGGATCTCCTTCTTAGTGTCCTTGCCACTCTGGACCGCTCCGTTGTTGGTGTCCCCCGCCCTGTCTTGGTGTACTCTGTCTACCTGCTCTGGTCGCCTTGTGGGAAGAACTGGACGGTCAGCGACTTAGAGTGCACGTTGGTCTCCTGGTTCAGCGTGATGACCTTGGGTTCCTCGATGAGATGGCATGTTGCCCCTTCCTCCTGCTGGGAGAGCCGGGCGTCCCCACAAAAAGGTAGAAGAAGCGAGGGGCCAGGGTCACAGGAGGACTTGCGCGGTCCCTGGACGGGCGCTTGCGAGCCCAAACTCAGCGGCGAGTGGCCTCAAGACGCCCCAGCTCAGGGAAGCGTCCAGCCAAGGGCCTGGAGAGTAAACACTCTCCAGCCCTAAGGGCCGCTCCCGAGCACGCCCTAAAGGCGAGGCCGACGACTTGAGCCAAAATGGCTACGGGTCTTCCTCTCCCTGTCTCTTTTTGGAGTTGGCGCGCCCGCTGTTCGAAGGCATCTTCATCCAGAAAGTCAAGCTCCTTTAGCAAAGAGACCATCGCAGTGCCGGCTCTCTGAGCATTTCTCGGCGGACTGCGTCTGAGGCGGTCTGGAGGAATACTGCGGTTGCCTGGAGCACGGAAAGCATTGTCTACATCGCTGCTTCTTGCATCTTCCTGCGACAGCCTGTCCTTGTCAGGTTTGGGTTCGACTCCAAGCTCTCATCATCTGAAGGCACGTCATCGACACCGCACCAGGGCATGAAGCAGCTCGCCAGGCTTGTTGGGCTTCGACTCTCTCGCCTCCTTGGCTGCCCCGGCCCTGTGCAACGAACATGCAGCCACGCAGGCCACGCAAGCAAGCTTAATTTCAGGCAGATAACGAGCGGATCGATGACACGGACGGATTTCGATCGAAATCGTCGGGTGGGCTGGTCTTCTGAAAGACCATCAGCTGAAGGTTCGACAGCGGCACACTCTGTGTCCAGCCTGGGGATAGAAAGTGCTCAGGCTCAGGGTGCCAGGGACGAAGAAGGCTTGCTCAGCAAGCGGCTGTCTGCATTGCACCAAGCCAGCCAGAGCAGGCTGTCAACTTCCAGAACGTCGCTTTGGCCAGAGACGACACCTCGTCACAGCTTGGATAGTTCGCATTAGTCAATAGCAGGCCGCCCTGCCATTTTTCGAGTACTTTGGGTGCATACTTACTCGCTCAAGATACTGCGAGACTACGATGCAGGTGTGAGCAAACGCTTTTGGACAGTAGGTGTTTTCCAATTGCCGATCCACCCCACTCAAGGCGCCTGAAACCGGCTGGGCTTCAAAAACGTCTCGCCATGCCAGACCTGGGGACAGAAGACAAGCTAATCGAACTACAGCAAAACCACGGACATAAAGCAGCTTTATACGCTCAGAACCGGTAAAAAAAAGACAGCCTGCAGCGCCGTGCTGGGAATCTTCATCCGACGTTTCAATCACGATCGCCTGACATGCTTGAGCTGCACCACAGAGAGTCACCTGCGAATCTACACCACAAGAGCATTCAGATACGAGGTGCCCGAAAGTGGAGAGAGCTTTTCGTGACGGAAAAGCTCCAGCTGGCCATGCTTCCAGCAGGTAGCCGCTGGCATTTGTAGTGGGCAAAGCCAGGAGCCAAGGTCAAGTTGTTTTCATGTCCTTCATCACGTGGCAATCAGCGCATCTACGATGGAAGCTGCAGCACTGCGAAAACATTGAAAGAGTGAGCACCCTAAGCCGGGCCGGGATTGTCAAAGCAAGGCTCGATTCTGCACCACATCTGCCAGATTTGCTAGGGACTCCAGCACTCCAACGCCGGCCATCTTGACCAACTCCAGAGGAAAGTCCATTGGCCCTGAAGGGATGAATCGGAACTTCCTCACGGGATCGACGTTGTCCACGCTACGGGTTTCGCACTGCCCTGCTGAAATGCCGCATGTTTGCACTTTGCCCAAGAAGCTGAGGCTCTTCCGGATCCGATCATTGAGCATCGGCTGCACCGCAGTCCAAAACAGGTTGAAGCCTCGCAACACTTAATGGAGTGGTTCCAAGTCCCAGCTCTTTTCTTTTCAGTGCAGACGGCACTGTGCTTACTCTTGGCAGGCTCTCCCGGGCTCTCCCTACCCCGCCTGCAGGTGGATTGACGATAACCATCTGGTGCAACGTTTCTGGATACGCCGTGCTCACAATCTTGAACACATCTGCAAGACCTGAGCGCAGATAACTTGTCGCAAAACCACGCTCAGCGTTGTCTGCGCGACAAGTGATGGCAAAGGATTGGAGATTCGTGTTCGGGCTGCGAAGCCTTACATCTGAAGGATTTTGTTCGGAGAGACGGTTCGCGAGCGCTGAGGCCACAAGGAAAGCAGCGATAGTGTTTTCGGGGCACCATGACTGAGCCCGCGCATCAGGGTTGAGCAAGCCAGATCGTCCAACACACAGCCACGCTCTACTTGGCACACACCTGGCGCTGTAAGTGTCACCTCAACCAATCAGTTTGTGTTGTTGTCTAGCCGCACAGACTGCAGCGAATTGGTGGCGCCGAGCAGTTTTCCGATGTGCGTGAGGGTGAGCTTCAAAAACCAACGAAGCGCAAAATGGTAGCAGCAGCAGCAGCAGTAGTGTGAACTGCTGTTAGCACGATTGGCGGCAGTGGTAGTAGTCGTCGTCGTCGTCGTACTCGTAGTCATAGTGGTAGTAGCAGCCGTAGTAGTAGTGGTAGTAGTTGTTGTTGTTGTCGTTGTAGTAGTAGTATAGTAGTAGTAGTAGTAGTAGTAGTAGCAGCAGCAGCAGTAATAGTAGTAGTCGACGTCGTCGTCGTAGTAATAATAAATAGAACAATAATGAATATTATTATTAGTAGTAGTAGTATTAGTATAACTATTGTTATTATTTCAGCTGCTCCGAACCGCTTCAGAGCGATGGTGTCCAGTTTCAGTCCGCGCGCCAACGATGCTGCCAAGACGCGCTTCATCACAAATCTGCTTCGGAGAACCGCGCCGATGTTTAGCCCTGTCAGGTCTCGAACCTGGAAGCTCTTCATCAGCTTGCCTTTCTTTATGCTGAGCTGATCCAAGTGATGCTCCCGCAGTTCACCTGAGCTCTGCGCATGTCGCCTTTCCATGTGCGGCAGAATGCATTGCATTGCACTGCATGTGCTCGATCGGGTGGCAGAGAAGGCTCATGCGACCGACGAGATCCTCATCAGTGAGGCTCATGATTTTCTCAATTTGGGCAAAACCATCTCTTTGTACCCAAAGCCTCGGTTCCACCACACCTAAATCCGACAAGATCGGGCAACGTCGCGGCTGGAAATCCTGACTGCTTGCAGCCAGGCTGCATGTTTCCATCTTTGGTAAACTTGCTAGCATCGATGCACATCATGTCAAAAAGCTCCCGGGCACCCGTCACAGAATCTACGCACCAGGGTTTGTTCTCGATGAGCGTCCGCTTCTGAAGCATATTCGCCTGGCAGGCAGCTTGGCTATTGGACTCCGAATGGATTGAGACCAGTGTGCCTACTTCCGGCCTCCTTGTACCAGCAAAGCATCTTCCGGAAGTGTGCCGTGGCCTCCTCCACCGAGCCATTGTTTCCCTGAATATACCTGACGCTCAGACGTGATAAGACGTGACAAAAATCCTCTGACTTTTACAAAAGCGGGAGCGCCTGCTCAACCTCGCTGGGTTGAAAAGGTGCTCCCCTTTCCTGCCCAGCTCGCGCCGCTCGACCTGCACAGGTGCGAAGCAGGCGGCGGAGCAGCCGAAGCTCGCTCACACGTATCTCTGTACCTGCAGCTCCTCCAAGAGCTGCGTCCGCGCTGCGAGCAGCTCCTGGCCATCAAGATCCTCGTTCGACATGGCGAGCGTCGCACGGTCCACACGCTCTCCGTCTCGTCGCTGTGTTTCTTGTGAACTGCAAGAAAGGTTGGGATTCCAAGCAAGTTTAATCACGGAACTACTCGGGGGTGTAAGCTGAGCTTCTTTTGCCGGCTGCCACATGCAACATGAAGTGGACCTTTATGAACCTCTAGGGAGCAAACGCTCAGCCCCGCCTTGATCACCAGCTGACGATTGGCTTTGGTATGCAGCTTCGACCAGCACTCAAGGCTTTCGATGCATTCCCATGGACAGCAGCAAGTGTGAGAGATGGCGGAAGCATTCGGCGATTTTCCATGAATTTCCCAAGTTCTTGCAAGTCAGTTCTTTTGGGGCGCTCCGTATTACAGTGCACCTCTGGAGGACAAGATCTCGTTGCTCTGGCTCTCACTGCATCAGGCTCTGCTCGGGCTTAGGCTCCTTCATGGACATTTCAGAAGGGTAGGGCCATTTGCGTCTCCACAGTGCCGGCCGGTTTGTCAGCCACTGCCACGTCCGTTTCGGCAAGCTCTGGCTTGGGCTTCTCGTCCTTGTCCTTTTGAGCCGCAGCTACCGCAGCATAGAGGCTTCGCTTGTAGGCATCACGGCCCTCTTTGTCAATGCTGGCGGCCGAGCCCATGGCAACAGCAGGTTGAGCCAGAAAAGAGGGGCTTGAGCCACGACGTCGAAAGTGGGACAGCACTACTACATTGAGAAGCCTCCTCTGTCTGGCACGGTCCAGCAAAACCTACTACACCGATCATGTACAAGATTCCGCGAGTGGCTCCGCAACTTAACATGCATTCCATGGCCCCCGTGTCCGCGGCTGGCATTATCCCTAGCATATGTGACGCAAGCAGACTTTTGTGGCGCACTTCTCACTGGAACCTTGTTGAGCAGATTCGGAAACAGTGCAGTTGTCTTGTGGAACAAAACCTCATGTGTCAACTCTACAGACATCTGAATCTGCTCGACTTGATGGTACCGGCTGCCAGTCGCAACGAGGCCACGCCCACAGTGGCCGAACCATCTGCACAAACTCCGCTGAGAGCACAATGGGCATTATCTCTCAGTAAGGGCTGCGGTGAACGTAAGCTGCGATCGGTACGACTGCTACTGCAACTCCTGCTACTGGTAATACAGCTGCCGCTGCTACCACCACCACGACCACCACCGATGAAGATGCCGACGACAACCAGTGATACTACTTCTTGTACTGATAATACTGGTTCACACAGTGAAGGAACTGGTTCTGTCCTCTCACAGGCGAATTAAAATGCACCTTGTGCCATGAACCGAATTATACTTGCAAGTGCACACGCATGTTGCACACCACAACTCCATGCAAAGCACTTCGACAGTAGTCTGTGCCACTGCGCTGGGCAGGACCATCAAAGCCTCTAGGCCTTCGTAGAATAACGGCGGTCTCTGCCAGTTCCACCAGATGCTGCTGAGGTGTTCTTGTATCCATTATCTTGCTGTTGCGCAAGTAGCACCCTGTCAGCCGTTCGGCATCCAAAAAACGAACTAAGGTGCCAAACGAGAGGCAAAGTGTTGGTGACAGCCCAACTTGGGACCATGGTTACCATGCAACGATCGTTGAAGTACGGGGTACAGGATGGTACAGGGTTCTTTGCCTCTGATCTGGACTCTGGGCTTGAGCCCCCAACTATGGTCGAGCTATCTCATGTGGCTCTTTTCAGAGGCCATGAGAACAGTATATCTTGGCCGCTCTGCTGGGTACACCTGCAGAGAGCTTCAAACAGCTTTTGAGAGTTATCTATCGCCTCGGCTGTTTAATACCTCCACGATCTGAGGACGCCACAGAATTCATTTCTTCGCCCTGGCATCAGTCTCAGGGAATGCCGATACGAACAAGCAGCAAAGGCCAAGTTAGCTGCATCTCCGACGATCCAGGGTTGTTCCTAGTCCTACTCATGACGTTCCGCTCCGCCTCTTCTTCAGATGCTTCACGATCTTGCCCGTCACCGGGTCAATGAAACCGTGGGCATCAATAGTGCATCCGCACCTGGGACACAGAAATGTTGTCCAACACCCCTCGACGTCGTCATTTGCCGCACACAGGGCCTCGACGAGTTGCCTGTAAGATCTCAGGGGCTGGCGTGTAAGTGTCTGTAAGAATCGCCAGACACCTCTCGCATAACAAAAGCCCTTGAAAGCAAGCAGTCAAGCCCCAACTCCGTCGGGTCTACTCAAATCTTGGGGCCGTGCTTGAAGCAGAACTTAGTTCCACAGTTCCGGCAGCCTCAAGTAGCTTCAGGCACGCAACAAAAATGCTGAATGAATTTTCCATGGTTACTCATTCCATTTGCTTGTGGAGGACGGGCCTCATCAATCTGAGGGAACTGCTCATCTTGTGACATTCGGAGTACTGCGTTTTCTGCTTGTCAAGATTCTGTTTCGTGACCTGGCCAGGATGAGGAAGCCGTCTCTCTGCATAGAAGATACCGGTGCAGCCGCTATGTCCACTACTGCTGCTGCTATCATCTATTCTATCTATTCTATGCTCCTGTCTTCGCCAACAGCCACGCAGGCAAGAAGTTGCTTCTGGGGAAGGGTCGCACCGACTCTGATGAAGACAGTCAGATCACTTTGGATCCCTTCGACTCATATACGAAGTCCAGGCTGGCAAGGCTCGACGAGCACGTTTCACTTTTGTTTGACAGAAGGGGATGCCTACGTGAAGCCAAGATTGCGTTTAGAAACGGGTTGCTATTGGGAAGGGGAAAGGTGGCTTCCAGTCTGGCTGTTTTATGGGAGACGCAGTTGCCTACTTCAAGTCAACAATAGTCAACACACCTTTGTCGCGTCTGCGCTGCTTCGAAACTCGAACGAGAGATCGCGAGCACTTGTAGAGTCAGCTCCTTGAGGTGACAAAGGCGCCAGGAAGGCGGCCATGCGGCATGTCGGGCACTGCTTTGAGCCCGTCTTCTCCATCCACTGCTCGAAGAGCTGCTCAGCCTCACAGACTCAGCTTTGTCCTCAGAACGCTCTGTCCAGATCGAGAGGCCTGACGCTCCTTCTTTGCAGCCCGTGTTGAATTTTTCAGCTTTTCGGCGTACTCCTCACATCATTTCATTGCGAGCTCGCTTGCTGCTTGCGACGCAAGTACGCTCGGCTAAAATCCTCGCATGTCATCCCTCTGTGGAACGGCTGTCGTCCACAGCGAAGGCCTGCCATGAAATATCTGCAAACGGCGCATGTGCAGGTTTGCTGGTCTGCCAGACCGACAAAGACGGCAACACAAGTGCAGCCGGTACGCATGTGACTTGTGACTTTGGGACGTGAGAGATGTGGAGATAGTGCGCAAGAAAGTCACAGCACCCACCAGGGTAACTTGCAGCCAAAGTCACATGACTCCTTCTTGCAGATGGTACACTTGAACCTGACACTTCACGTGAGCAGATTCATGCCATGAAACTGCATCCGTTCACATGCCCTTCCCCGCTTCGTGATGTCGCCCTCTTCGATGGCGACACGCATAACGCAATTCCTCGTCGTGGCTGCTTTCGATAAGAAGATAAAACTAGGTATTGCAACTATGCCATTCAATGCCAGCTCCACTGAGCTGGCAGCGGCGTTGGGCAGGCACGGATGTTCGCTGAAGATGACACGGCCTGCTCGAGGCTCCGTGCCTGAGACGTCGACGCCGCGTGTCCAGCGACGTACACAAGTGCTTCTTGATCTTTAGGGACCGCTAGGCCGGCGCGCCAGGAGCCGATCGATCGTTTCGGTGGGGAGGAGCTTCCTGGCCCAGACTCCCGGGTTGAGCTCTGCAACTCTGCGACGACAGGAAGAGCTTTCGCTCCTCAGATCTCGTTCAGCGAGGACCGATGAGCACTCGGGACCTCAGTGTGGCTACATGTGGCTACCCTGCAACTTGAAGAGACAGGGCGCCCTCCGGGAAGCCAGCACGTGATGGAAGCCGCACCCATTTCCAGGCGGGCCTACATTCGTCGCATGTCGAAGACTGCTCACAGAAAAAGCAAGTCCAAAAGATGGCCTCGGCGTGGCGCAGCATGCAGGATGCCTTAGTTTTCGATGGACCGTGAACCTCCGATTGCTATTGCTCACAGAAAAGGATCTGAGTATCCCAGCGCAGTACCAGCCGTGACCACAGCCCAAACGCACGGACCGCCACGGCGAAGTGTCGCAGCAGCAGATCTCGCCAAAACAGTCAAAGAGCTACTTGCGACATGCATAAGAGCCTCATGCATAGCTACCATTCCAGTAGCTATGCGACTGTCCCCAGAAGGCATGAGGCAGATCCTCTAGGCCCCTAGGCGGCATGCGACGATCAGGAACAAAAACCAGAAAACACATGCACGGCCGTTCCCGGAAACTTTCTCCGTCTTGGGATGTAACATGGGGCGGTTGTTTCTTTTTGGGGTGCTGTTGTTTGATTTGGTGCTTTTCGGCTCGCTAGTCAGCTGCTAGTCCGATTTTCGAAACACATCCCACAGAGAAGCACAAAATCAGACGAAACCTAAACACCAGGGGAGGCGGCTAGTGGCCAGTCTCGTCATAAGGGTGCTTGTTGTTCTTTCTCGAGATAGCTCAGTGTAGAAAGCTGCATGCGGGAGTCAGACTTCTAAACCTTGTACCTGGCCGGTATGGTTCGATACTCAAGACAAGACAAATGCAAATAGCCAGCACAACGGAGCAAGGATGATGCAACAATGTGCCACACAATCCAACACATGGACTCAAGAGAAATGCAATAGAGACATGCAGTAGAGACACAGTTTGTTACTTTGATCGAACCCATGCAATGGTTGAGCGCAAACAGCTGGCAGGACGGACCGTGAGCAGCACTCGGAAGGAGATTATTCCTGACTGCACCTGGATTCCGCGACAGTCAACCATGAGCTAGCAAGATGCAAACACGCACACGTGCACGTTGGAGGCATTCACGCAGCTCGATAAAACAATCGCGTCACATTCAAACATGCCGACTACATAAGCAGCATGCAGAACGTCCCGAGTTGACAACACCACGCAACTGCAAAGTCTCCTTTGCGAGGCGGCCGTGTAGACAGAGCTTTACAATCGTCCTACATTTTGAAATGTCACCCAATTCGGCCAGACATGCACCGAGACCGTGATCATGCCCGTTTTAGCTGGTGCAGAGCAGAGCCCATTCCTTTCGTTCAGTCATCACATCTCATCACGTGGCATGGAAGCTGGCAAATGAAGTAGGCCAAACTTTACTGTAGGAAACGAGACGAACCGCCCTCGGATATGCAACAGAGGACATGCACATTGCAGAGTCGTCTCAGACTCTCTGCCATCAGATTCAAAACACAATCTATCACGGACCACTCTGACTCTGTGTAATTGCATTTATTGAGTGGCAACGTGGCACGAGCGAAACTATTCTGAAGATACATGTGGTGCATGACTTGCCTTGCACACATCCGCGTTGGAATTCAAGCGCATGGCTTGCCTGCATCGGCTCCAATCACCCCTTATTGATTGACGAAGGCACACAGATACACGCACCCCCTTAGCTCAAAGCGGACTGCGGCAGCCATCGTTCTGGCACAGGCACTTTGTAGTTTCAGGAGTCATAGGTTCGAAAGCTCACCAGTACTAGCACTAGGTCAGAAAAAGAGCAGCTATCTGCCAAGGTTGGCGAATCCGGGAGAGACAAAGTTGAGGCATAGCTTCCATCCCGACAACCCCGGAAACAATGGTCGTGATGCTCAAACAATCTGGCAGGATGGCAGAAGATCTGGAGGGAGTGGGCACCACGCCCATTGCAGATGCTCCCTCCTCGATATGACATGTAGTGCAGACAGACAGAAAGGGATGCAGCCTAGATCTACCTCTCCAGTCATTGAAGCTACATGTGGTCAGGTCAGGATCGTCCCGCATGCACTCGGAACCTTTTCTCCGAGTGCAGTTTCGATCTCAGGACCCTCTGGGAGCGTAAAGGAAGGCATGTGTTCTTTGGGAGTACAGCGGCACCACGATGTTGGTGAACGGCTGGATATCCTGCAGAGCTGAACCCCATCGCAGCCGCCTATCTAGTAGCGACGGCGCCGAGGCTCTGCTTGGAAGCCTTGAAACTTCGGATTCACTGCTAAGCTCTCTCCAACCCTTCTGCAAAGTTGATGCCCGCCACAGTAGCCAACGGCGAGATCAGATTAGGGAACGCGAAGCAGGATTTCCTGCTTACCTGCAGTCCTTCAAGCCACCTACTGTCCCAGGGCACTGCTCCGCTCTTCGCCCTGTCCGAGCTTAAGGAAACATTAATTAAGCACTGCAGATTACGGGAATGAATATCTGGCAAGCACATAACGATAACGCGGTCAAACCAACTCGAGCGGATTTGTCACTGCAGCGTGTCCGGTCCTTCTGGCCGGTCCTTGGTGCACGGCACGAATTATGGTTCTTAGTTCTGCTGCTTCAGAGCAACTCCAAGACAAAACCAATGCGGGTACAGCTACACCACATCGATGCCGCTGTCACTCCCAAACAGCGGAACCCCATGCAGCGGAACCCCATGCCCAGCTCGTGCGGCTGTGCATCAGGAATGCGAAGAAGTCTGTGGCAAATGTCTGGCAATTCTTGCGCAGTGTGTCGTATTCGGCAACTCTGCTGATGTAGTTCAGCAGGTAGCCAGCAATGTGTGCAGGACTGCGAAGTCTCAGACGCACCTTCCAGGGGCGTGAGGACACAGATCACAACAGGTCAACACTTGCAGATTCCGCATGATTCCGCGGCAGGAGTGGGTTTTGCTTCTTTGCGCGCCTCCGAAGATGCATATATCCGGGGTGCTTTGAAGCGCCATTCGTTTCGAGGCAAGCCACCGTCCTCACTGTACCTGCATACGACCACGAACTGACACGGCCGCACCCCAGAGCTTCCCAGCGTGACTGCTGGGCTGCCTTATCTCATCTCAGACGAAACATGTCCGCCTCCGGAGATACTGCTCTAGCTGCTCTTTCGAAGTGATTGGCATGTCGATCATGCGGATCTCAGATCTTACCTGGTTCCAGCTTCCTCGCATAGAACTTGCCATTGCTTCGTAGATTTCAGGAACTGGCTCAAGTTTGTCCGCAACCCAGTTGCTCTTTCCACCTTGCAGGGCAAGATGCGTACACCCTACACTCCAGCGCTTCAGAACCCTGCTGGTCCTCTGTTCCGCAGCCCCTCAACGTCAGCAACTCCACCGCTTTGGCAGACCAGGCACCGTAGCCACCGATGCCATTGAGCCATGCTAGCTCCACCAGTGTTGAAAACTGTCCATGGGACCATTCCAAAGCGACCTCGGGCTCAAAGTCAACGCACACAGAGCCAGCGTGTTCACGGTATCTAAATCTAAAGCCGTCGACTAGGCGAAAGTGGGTGCTTGTTCAAGCTCGTCGCCGCCACATGCCACGTCTGAAGGTCTCGGAGCGTCTCACTGTCCACCGGGTAGCGATGTGCAATCGCATGCACTTGAACAGCCTCTGCATCCTTGTGGGGTCCCGTGAGAAGCGTGGACACCAATCGCTCTCCAAAGTGGCAGGCACCGGGGCTGTGGATGCATCGTGGTGTGAACCACCACACAAAGCCGGCCGAATCTTTGGACCAGCCCTGAGTTAACGTAGAGTAGACAATGCCATGATTCGAAACACATGTGCAAAACACCGAAACTGGTGTCAGGGAGAGTGGTAGGTATGTCGCCTTCTTCATCCAGGAAGGTGCCAGGAAGGTTGCACGACATCTCTCCGGCAGCTTCTTTGGAAGCTCGTCACCATCAACCCAGATGCGCTTCACTGCCGCCGTCATTGGCAGCAGGCCTGAATGCATCAGGGACAAGGGCCTGCCATGCAGCTGCAAGAACTTCACGCTGGCATTCAACACTGCAGCACCGTCTCATGCTTTCCTCCTGCATTCTTCTTTGGATGGCTGCCTCTTCATTACAACCTCTTGGGGAGCTGACCTCTCTGCTTCTGAGTGATAGATCGCAGCTGCAGGTTGACGAGGCTAGGCCAGCCATTCAGCGGACCTGAAACGGAGCTGTTGCTTTCAAGCTCGGTCCCTCGTTCGTCCTGCTGGCCGGCCTGGCAGGATCCAGGTGTCCCCTACTTTTTGTAGTTGGGACAAGAGCTCTGATTGTCTGATGACAGGCATCGCCCGCCGTGGTTTCACCTCACCCGACGGCAAACAGTCCCTCGGGTGGATGTAGTCGTCCGTAAAGACCTGGAACCATGCAAACTCTGGAAGTTGCAGAATCTTGTGGGGGAAAGAGGTCGATCTGGACAACGGCGCTCGTACTCTAGACTCTGACACCAGCTCACCTTGGCATGCCAAACCACGCCGTCATCGTTGTCACCTGAGCTCACTGCATGTGGCATTTCACGCACGCGTGTTGACGGATGTTCGAGGAAACTGTGCAACAGCATCTTTGAGGTGAACACTCGCAAGCTGGGCTGGAGATGGCTCGGATGGCTGCCCCTCCTGGTAGCCACCCCCCTCCGAATCCGGTTCGTCATCGGAGTCCACTTGCAGCAATCCTAGCCAAGACATGTCAAGCACTTCCATGCTTCGCCTTGCATAAAATCCACCATCAGCTTCCTGACTCTGGCGGCGGAAACAAGCCGCTCTTCCTCTTAAGCACCGGTTCTTCCATTACCGGGAGCTGCTCAGAGCCGGCCATGATGGAACTCACGATACAAACATATACAAATTATACAAACTCTTACAGCGTGACAAGACGGGATACAATTGACAGTACAAGTAGCTGCCACTAGAACGTGATAGGACCAGGGCTGCTTTGCAAACCTTGCCAGGAAGGTACGGGAGGCCTTCGAGATGGCACTGGTGCTGAGAATGACATGACAGGGAGCCCAAACTGCAGAACGGTTTCTCAGGCACAGCAACGAGGCAGTGCAAATTTCACAGCGCACATATGCAGCTCGGAGCATCCTGCCGCTTCTTCTTCCCGTTGGTGCTGGCCTTGCAGCTTTCTCAAAAGCAGGGCATGCTCTCTCTGGTGATCAACGGCCTCGAGTGCTCATGAAAGCTGCTAGAACTCGCTAGACCCAAGGAGGCAGTTCTCCCGTTCTGATAGTTGAGCAAACCGCCGTAAACAAGACCAGAACAGTGAGCCGCGAAATGTCAGAAGGACAAGGTGGATGACTCAACGACGAATCCCATTCCTGCAGTGGTCACTGTAGCTGTGGAAGCTGATGATGGTACAGATTGTGAACCATCCCAACAGCCACACAAAATTTAGAGGACGACGTTGAATGCATGAAAGAAACAAGTAATTAGGTGCTTCAGCGTGTTTGATTTCGAGCTTACCCAAAATCTGCTGCGTCTCGCATGCGTAGTTTGCACCAACTGCAGCAGAAGCAAGTTCCACTTGGCACGTGGAATGGAGTATGGAGTATACACAGTACAGTAGCAGCAACCGGCCCTGGCCCCTTTCAAAGTTGCGAAGGGCAAAAGCAAAGCATCGCCGCTCTCCCTCGGCTCACCTGCTCCTCCATCGTGCGCTTCCGCACGGGCGTTCTGTTGGCCGACCTCCGCTTATTCGCTTTGCCGAACAAGGCGCTCGCATGCTTCGCCATCTGCAGAGGGCCCTCACTCCCCAAAGTGCACTGAGCCCAGGTAGTCGGTGACCTCCCGGCATTCGGGCCTGGGTCCCATGGCTCCCGTGGCTCAGCGTGACTGCAGCTCGGAGGCCGACTTTCACTGAGCTGGCGGCCGAAGGATGCTGAGAGAAGCTTCCAACCTGGCTTCGAGGATCTTCGAGGTTTCAACTCTCCGAGAATTTCGAATTCTCCGTGGCAGCCTCAAGTTCTGGTAGATCTTGGGCCAGCGAGCGGCTGCCTGCGCAGTGAAGTCGTTTTTGTCGGAGACCCGGAAGCAACCAGTTGAGCTTCGAGATGAATACTGCTTTCACCGCAACCCACCGGGTCCGATGCAGATGCTGCAATTTGCAGCATAGGCACACTGCGAGGATCTGACGGGTATGATAATACACCCCTTCGTCCCCTGATTATGAAGTCTGATGCCGCTCTTATTTCCAGCAGCCAGGATGCCTCTCGCCACCACTTCATGCCATGCTCGTTGGGCTCAATTGAGCGCACTGGCAAAGGCGGAGGCGGAGTCGCTTCCTTCCGCACGCAAGCCATGAGTCCATGGCTTGTCCGTGACTCGTGGTGTCTCCTCAGCTTCCATGGAAACTTCGACAGCCTCCATGGCCTCCGCAGCTTCCGCACTTCGCCTCCGGGCTATGCGCCGCTGGATTTTTTTTGTTGCTGCCCATCGTGTCTCTTGGGGCGTGGCTTCTCTGGCTCCACAGGTGTTGGGGCAGCCACACTGTCACCTTCGTCACGACAGCACCACCACTAGCAAATATGAGTCAATCGTTTCAATCCGAGAGCTGTACCCGAGGAAACTGTTTCAGACGGTGTGGGCCTCAGGGCTGCAGCCGGGCATTTGGATACATCCTGTGACCTGTGACCTTCCACATCCATCAACAAGTAGACACTCCTCTGACCAAGCGAAACCTACACTCCTCGAATCTGAGGCCAGAGCGCGGCAGATGCACTTAACTCCTGCACTCACGGCAAAGTGCCATGCGGAGCTGGATGTCGTGCAATCGAGGATCTGCTTTGTGGCTGTTTGCAAGGGATTTGTGACGGAAAGTGGATGGTCCTCACAAGTTTTGGACTTCGGCTGCCGCTCCATGACACGCTGCAGCACCGTAGAGTTGCCCACAGTCAGCGGCACCTGCGCGGGGACTTCCTGCACAGTCCAAGTACGTACATGAGGAGTCGAGAGTGCTGAGTCAAAGAACGTTTTCTGAAGAGTCTCACAATCGTTCCAAATGTCGCAAAACTTGAGGGCCAGGGGCATGGA